GTGCCTATCAGCAGTAGAGTAAACGAATGCATGCGCGTGCACACACACACGCACGCACACACACACACGTAATAAATTAAAAAAAAAAAAAACTTGTGTATTCACACAATGTAATACAATACAGACTATAGAGTAATAAGGATCTATACACAACAATATGGAGGAATCTTGCCAACATGATGGGGAACAAATGAAGCCAGCCACACAAGAATATATAACTTCATGATCCCACTTACATAAAATACAAAAAAAGATTAAACTAATCTCTGTGTTTAGAGGTCAGATAAGGGCAACTTTTGGAGATGCAAGTAGTGACCAGCAGGAAGCGTGAAAAGGCTTGTCGTTGCTACTGCTCTGTTTCTTAATTTGGGTACAGGTTACACAATAAAAAGTATGAAAATATACCAAGGTGTGCTTTTGATATATGTTCCTATATCATATATATTTGGTAAAAAGTAAACTATAGGTAATGTAAACAGAGAGATGGAAACTAAGAAAGCATCACAAGGAAATTCTGGAAATCAAACACACCGTAATTGAAATGAAGGGCATCTTTGGTGGGCTTTTCAGTAGACTGGGTATAACCAAGGAAAGAATCAATGAGCTTGAGGAAATGTCCATAGAAACTTCCAAAATTGAAATCCAAAGAGAAAAAAGAATGAAAAGCCAGAAACGAATATCCAAGAACCGTGGAACATCTAAAAAATGTGCACAATGGGAATATATGCACAATGGGAATACCAGAAGAAGAAAGAGGAGAAAAAAAAAAAAAAAAAAAAAAAAAAAAAAAAAAAAAAAAAAAAAAAAAAAAAAAAAAAAAAAAAAAAAAAAAAAAGTAACAGAAGACCTATCTGAAGCAATAGTGACTGAGAATTTCCTAAAACCAATGACAGACATCTAAATACAGATCCAGGAAGCTCAGAGAACATCAAGCAAGATAAACACCAGAAAAAAAAAATCTACCCTTAGTCATACAATATTCAAATGGCACAAATTCAAAAACAAAGAATAAAATCTTGAAAGAAGCTTGAGAAAAAACATTACCTACTGAAGAACAAAGATAAAAATTACATTAGACTTCTCTTCAAAAACCATAGAAGCAGAAATAATGAAGTGAAATATTTAAAATGTTAAAAGGAAGAAATCACCAACCTAAAAAATTTGTATCCTGAAAACTTATTTTTCAAAAGCAAAGAAGAGGGGCGCCCGGGTGGCTCAGTCGGTTAAGCGGCCGACTTCGTCTCAGGTCATGATCTCACGGGCCGTGAGTTCGAGCCCCGCATCGGGCTCTGTGCTGACAGCTCAGAGCCTGGAGCCTGTTTCAGATTCTGTGTCTCCCTCTCTCTGCCCCTCCCCCGTTCATGCTCTGTCTCTCTCTGTCTCAAAAATAAATAAACGTTAAAA